CCCCAAAACCCCAAAACCCCAAAACCCCGTAATTCCAAATCTAATTTTATGATTAGTGCTAGTTTATGAAATAAATATATTATGTAATCCAGAAAAACATTGTTCCAAAAGCAAATATATCATAGCTTTTTTTATAAAGAATCATTAAAATTATAGTCTACTTTCATATATCTATATTAATCAGTGAAAATAGTCTAATTTTTTCAGAGTCAAATAGCTAAGAATTAGGACTATGATTTACACTAATCCTTGCCCAAATAACCTAGTTTAGCCATGACTCAAATTAAAAGGAAGACTTAAGATACTATGGCTAAATAGGTGGAGTTCCATTCTTGAATACGCTACCTCTAAGAGAGAAATTCGTCATTATAGTTGAAAATGAATCTTTATCCAGATCATTTATCTTCTCAAGGTTCTACATACTTTCATCTTTAAACTATGTTTATATCTCAAAGTTGTTCTTAATGCTTCTCTCAGGATCAAAATAAATAACAAGTCTTTTCTCTATTTCTTTTGCAATAAGAGTCAATGTCTAAACTGCAGCCCTTAATTCATATAACCTATTAATTTTAAACCTCATGGCAAAATGCTTACTGTTCGTTGTAACTCTAAATGAAAGTAACATTCTAACTCTAATTAACTTATGTCTTGCTCTTATATTATTCTTCATCAGCATCATCTCCTCCCATAGTTAAATGCGTTGCAATATGATCAATTGCAAGATTTCTGATTCTCATTTCTTTATCTTGCCCTTTATCATCCTGTTTTATTTCATCATCCTCCTAAGTATAATCTACAACCTTTAACTCCTCATTATTATTAGCCTCTTATCTTAATTAGTTCTCAGACTCGAGCAGTATTCGCTTTTGTGATTGAATGAACAGATTATTGTTCTGACTTAAAGAACTATCTCTCATGCTTTGATCATCAATGTGATGATTGTTATCAAAATGATCCATGTTCACTTATGCAACTTCAAATTTTATAGGACTACTCTACTTTTATAGATTAGAAGCTATAACTATTGGAAGGAGTTCAGACTCGTCGTTTTTTGTAGTCTCTAAGTTAAATTTATTCTAAAGCTAGAAGAAAATCTCCATCTTCTTGCTGAAAGCAAATAAGAAATCAATGTTGCTCTATAAAAAGGAGGATTAAAGGAATTATGAGAACTCACCTAATCATTGTAAGCAAAAATATTTATAAATCCCTTAAAAAGATTGATTAGTGCCTTTAGATTTATAAGCTTTTGATGTATCTAGATCTATTTGGCTTATTATGAGCTCGAGCTTTCAGTTAAACCTGATTAGGTTTCTATAAAACTTATTTGTAAAAAGTATTTAGCTAAATCCATTAATGCCATTGACGATATTTAGCTTATTTAGTTCAAATAAGGAGACCTAGAATTATACTGTATTAAGATGAAGTTTATTTTACAAGTTTGTGAATATTCCTATAATTATATCATGTATATAGCTAAGCTCATTTAACCCTTTTTCTTTAACTATCTTATGAATAAGTAGTATGTATCTATCAGAGTAACTACCGATACCATTTAATCCTCCTGCAACATTTGGAAGGCTAAGCTTAAGTGAGGTATCGAACTTAGACTCTTTATCCATTCCTATCACGAATTCTTAGCATGTACCAGTAATCTAAAAAATAGAGTACAAGATTATAAAGATCATATTTCTCTCAGATAAGTTCTTCTCCTTGCAAATAGCATCCAATCTTACCAAGTAATATTTCGATAGAATCATAGTGAAGGTTTCATTTTCCTTAAGTCCAATCTTGATCTTACACATATCTCTGAAATTCTTACCGTCATTAACTGACAATAATCTCCAAATCAGTAGAGTCAGCTCTTTGTAAAAGGGTATAATATAGTATGACTTAGGCAGTGAAGCTCTATGAGATCTTACATAGTTTTTGAGAAGCTTAAACATGCCTTCAGATATAATTTTTGCATTATTATAGCCTAATATAGCTTGAACTAGTCTAGACACCTCATTTATCTTCATATTAGCAATAACTCTGGCATCAGAATTTAACTAATCTGCAAGCTATCCTTCTTAATCAATATCTTAAACTACATCTGCTTAGTTTACATCTGAATTTGAGAAGTACTCTTGCACTCTAGCCATTTTTGCATTTTACTATATTACGGTTTAGATATCTATAGGAGGGTTATAAGTAGTCAGTGCCATTAATACTTCTAGAGAGGTCTTAAGAAATTCATCTACATAAGGATTCTTTTGATAGGTGTTTGCAAAGGGTATTTTTAGACCATCGCAGTCATACATAATAACTGAGTTTAAAATAGAGAAGACTAAGTTCTTAAGATTTTTGTTTTTCTTGTTTGTAAACATAGTCATTACAGGATCTATTTATTAGCCTTACAGAGATCTAGGCTAATATAATTGTTATGTCATCGTTATCAACATTAGCTTGAGCAGGTAAAATCTATGCTTGAAATACTAAGTATCAGTAATCTTATTTTTAACTTCACCTAAAGTACCTAAACCCCAACTCCACATGCTATTGTCATCGAAATCATATACTAACTGATTTCTAATACTAATGAAGTTTAAATTTCTGATAGTAAATCCAGGCTTGAATAAGAGTATCATAATAGATTCAATAAGTTTGATAATGTAAGAAGAGGTATTTCTACCATCCATTTCTACTTCATCCCTCCAAAGAATATCGTCACACAAATCTGAGTCTTTCATAATAAATGCAATAAGTCTAATTAATAAGTAAATGCTTCCGCAAGCCAACTTGACATCGTCGTTTTTCATGACTTTGTTTGACTTTGACTATTTATAATCATCTTTATAAGCGAATGTGTAAAGAATGTTAATGCAAGACTATATTAATAGGGTTATGTGCTCTCGTTTTTCTGAGAACAGTTCACCCAACTTGGCAGGCTAGATACTTTCTACGTATTTATAGCTTTTTAAGCTTATAATCAGTCTACCTATCGATGCTTCTTAGATCTTGGCAAGATCAGTTTCCTAGGCTTCGATTTTGACTTGATTGATGTCTGAGTTCAGAAAGAGCTATAGCTGATTGTCAATCTTCGGATTTCCAAATATACTTATGTTGCCCATTCTGATATTCTAATTTAAGTTTAATATTTTGACTGGAAATTTAGCACATTCAATATAGTGGGGTTTTGGGGTTTTGGGGTTTTGGGG